TCTGCCCTCCTCGCCGTTAGCACCGCCCTGCGTGGTGTGGCCTTCTCGTGTCGCGCGTGGAGGTGCGCTCGGGAGAAGGCTGCCGTACGAACACCGGCTGCCTTCGTGTGCAGGCTTACCTCACTTGCCGCTGGCTTGCTAGCTCGGGGGTAGGCGAAACGTGGGCTTAGCGCAAGTTACTCCGCTTCGGAAAAGCCATGGGGCTCTCTATGCTTCGGTTGATTTAACAGGCTGGCAGCGTGTCGCGAAAAATATCCCCGTCCTAGACCTCTCCTGTAACGCACTTCTGAACGGGACAGGCAGGCGGTCCAGGTGCAGCCAGAGGCGAGTCGGCACCACCAGTTCAGCTGGTGCAGCAGCTTTTCCAGCGCATCCTGACCTGTACATTCTGCTTCCTGCGGTACCGACGGTGTAAACATTTATGTGCCCCTCGGTGGAGTGTGTCCAGACTGATCCTTAGTCTGGGTGTCTAGCTGCCTGGTAGTCATAGGCGTGATTATTTCCCCCCCCCCCCTTTTTTTTTTTTTTTTTTCGGTTGCACAGGTATAAGAATTGGGCTTTATCATACAGCTGTACTTTTCCCCCTTCCCTCCCTTACTGCAATTTTGGCAAAACCGGGAGGGGGCGGGGAGAAGAATACAGCATGGACAGAAAGAAGAAACTCACAAAACGGTTAAGCGTATTTCAGAAACTTCCCCATCTCTCTCAAAAAGTCCTGCACATGCATGTTAACCATAGTGATTTGTCAAAGAAACTGTTCAGAATGAAAATAAATGTTGTCCTGTATTAGTGGATGTTACTTCTTCTTGTTGCAGGAAGGTTGTTCTAGGTGCTACTCTTTCCAAGCAGCATTTGTTCTGTTCCTAGAAACTCCAAGAATCAATAATAATTAATAGGAAGATGTAACTGATGTTTGCTTTGCCAACACTTTAAATTGTTTTATTAAATAACCGAAAACATTTCTTCATTGTGACTGTTTCTAGAATACAGTTCATACTCTGGATGTGCTTACCTGGAAATGGGTCAGGGCTAATAGGACATTGCTGCAAACGATCTTTAAAGTGGAAATTTTATAAAACTGAGGAGGTGTTCTCTACAGGGAATAATTATCTAGCAAATATGTGGGATTTTGTTTTGTTTTACCCATTGATATGATTAACAATTGCTCAGAGATTTGAGAAAGTAACCCAAATCTAGTCCTATGTGGAGCTGGAATTTTGATAGTCACCTTCCAGTCCTTTAAGAAGGAAGAGCAAAGGTTTATGAAAGCTGAAGGTTTTTTTATTATTATTGTTTTCCTCTCCTTTTTCTTGCTTTCTAGAGACAGTGGAAGAAATTACAATCCTTTGCTAGCTTGTATCTTTCACTATATTAATAACCTATTATAATACTGCATTTACAAAAAAAAAAGAAAAAGGTTTTGTCCAGCTCCTGTTTCAAAGAAAATTAGTAACTAGTAGGCCCTTTGTAAGAGTCTGCTTACCTACTTTCCTAAGATCAGTGCTTATTTGGTTTAAAAGTCAGTTCAAAGTGTTGCTAAAGTGATGCTTTAAAAATCAGTCATGCAGTTCACTACACTAGAGCGGGTAGCGGAGTTAAAAAATCTGTTATCTTGTGCTCTAAGGGGTCTTGGAGGTTTTGTGCTTTGACAGAGGCGGATTACTAGAAATATTTAGTAAATAAACAAGAATACTTGTATGTATATGTTTGCTGGCCTAGGTTTAGGGTACTGACTCTTTTTTTTCTGAAGGAGGTAGGGGACTTTACAAAAGGCAACTGTGTACGGTAGTACTATAGTACACAGTAACTGAAGTGGTTCCTTGCATCAGGCAAAATGTACTACTTGGAGTATCATTATCTGTCATGCTTTTGTAAAGAGATAGAAAATTCACCACTTGTTAAGACTGGAAACTTATGTGGAACTACTAAAGGTAAGATCTAGGCAGTGTCTAAAACTTGTATCATCCCCAGTATCCAAATGCCTTTTCTTTTTATAGTGCTCGCACTCATTTTAAGTATGTAAATAAATATATAAATGTGTATGTATAATTTCCATGTAGAAGAGTAATGCAAAAGTAGCTTTGTTGCCTTTTATCATCCTTTCCTCTGGTGGCTGTTCTCTGATACAGGCAAAACTTGGTAGCTTCACCTGTTTCAGATGCACCATTTTTGCCCATATCTGCCCCATTTAAGATCTCTCACTCCATGTTGAGATATTGTCCCTGGCCTTCAAACAGACCATGATGGTAACTGTTACCTTTAGATTTTTAGATGAAAGCACAAAAGACTTTGGGTTTGGGTTTTTTTTCATTGCACTTGATCTATGCCTGGGAAGGAAGACCTTGTTAACACCTGCGGTGCTATTTCGTTGTCTTCCTCCATGCTACCCCTGCCCTCCACCTGCAGCTTCCTCATCTTCCTCGGTGCTATATCGGTAAAAACAGGAGCCCCTGAAATGAATGCTAGCCTCTGTTTTAGTGGTGTTTCTTTTTGCAGCTGCTTATAAAGTAGCCTACAGGAACACATTGCTGCTTTGTAACTAATCTCTCATTCTTTTCTCTGCTAGATCCACACAGGTTTACAACACCAGATAATTTGGCCGTGCCAGCCCAGCTGCGTGCCACTGGATGAGAAACTCCTCCCAGAGCTACTTAAAGAGGCGGGATACGTGACTCACATGGTGGGGAAGTGGCATTTAGGGATGTACAGAAAAGAATGCCTTCCAACCCGCAGAGGATTTGATACTTACTTTGGTAATGGTTAGATTTAACATGGGCAATAAATGTGGGGTTAAAAATGATGAGAAACTGCCCCATTCTTCTAAGAATAGCAGATTTACTATTAGTGTGTCAGTAAATAAATACCTGGGCATGCATGTTTCCCAAGTATAACTGCTTAAAATAAGATAGTGTCTTACATGCATGCCCAAGCCTTACAACTTATTGAAGAAAATTTTGTAATTATTGAGTGGCTCCAAAGAAAGTATTTCTCTCTTATGATCTGCATTTAATTTGGTTCCACGAAGGTTAGAAGGCTTAAGGTAGTGATCGGTGTGTTTTTCTTTAATCTGAACATTTTGTATTAGATCAGACAGTAGATGTGGCTTGCTCTGCAAATAATGTTACACTTCTAAAAGTTGGTATGTTAAAGAGAGAAACAGATATCACACCACACTGTGTTCATGCTTTGTGAATAGAGTAGCATTGGTTTTCCAGAGCCTGTGGCAAGGAAGTTGGTGTGAAGTTGCGTGGTTTTACTCTATAAAACAGTATCCAAAAGGTCTGCTGCAGGAACTCACAAGTTGTGAAGTCAAACCCTCAGACTTAAAAAAAAAAAATGCCAGAATTAGATTGTCCAAGTGTGAGTGTGTTACTTACAAAGCAACTTGTAGCTACAGGCTGTTTATTCTTCCTCTTGCAAAGGCTGCTGTCCCAATATTGATTGGATATTTATTAGTTTTGCACAAATGTCACAGATGTTATGTGAATCAGGCTGTCTGCAATACATCTCATGCTACACGGTACAAATGCAAAGTGGTTCATCTCCACTTGGTTGTTTTTAAGACACTTTCATTGAATGGAGAATTTCAAAACAGTTAATTGTCTTCAAATAACTTCGCAAGCTGTTGATAGTACTGCTGCTGACTTCTACAGCTGAGAAAGTAAGATACAGAGAAACTTAAGCAGAAGCCTGTGTAACCTTGTCTAACCTTCGGTACTTAAATGAAGAGCCTGGCTGTGCTACTTGCCCTTTATAGGCAGTGGCCAAACTTTAGGTGGGAAGAACTGTTCCCTTAGATTGTTTGTCTTGTTTGACTCTTTGGGGGAGCTTGGGACTGTGGTTTCACAACTAAATTAAGCTAATATATATGGATCACAATATAATGGCTCGTTGCTTAAACGTATATGCCTCTTCCCATCCCTTCGCAGGAGCTTGGGATCTTTTTGACGGCATAAATGTAGGTAGGCTGGGGCTACTCATGAACTCTCACCCTGGAACTGAGCAGGCTCTTAATGCAGGAGCCTTAATACAGGCTGGCTCTGGGTATGGTCATTGGGTGCTCAGTGTGACATTATTTTTCAGAGAATGCAGTGGTTTAATATACTATAATGTTCATGTAATTCCAGTGGGTGTTGATTGCAACTAGGGCATTTGATTCTCTGGCATACTTGACACAGTGTCTCGCCCAGCAGGCACTCAAAATGGAGAAATGCAACTTGCAGCTCTGAGTACATTGATGTAGGCAGTCTGCCCACAAAAATCAGTCTTTATGCTTTAAAAGAAAAGCCATTTTTTCTTTCTAAAAATGTATTAGAAGTTGATATTGTATTTAAAACACAAAATCATTCTTTCCACACATACTTTTTTGCATAAGTAGCTGTAGTTGAAGCTGCTGAATAAAAATTCAAGAGAAATTCCTCTCTTTTGGATTTTTGTCTCCAGTTTTAGTTTGGTTTTGCAGAACTCAAGAATATATTTTTGCAGATTGGTCTCTTTTTTTCAGGGTATTGGGGGATAAATCTGTAATCTTAATTGCAAAAGTAATAATTACTGAGTTTCAAATGATTTTGAAGGCTTTTGTTTCTGATTGATAAAGAGCAAAGGTACTCCATGCTTAACAATATAGCCCTTGATAGGAGCAAATCTATACCTGTAGAATTTTTGCATAGTTTGTTTCTTTTCGGTATCTTTAAATAATAGTGTCTTTTTTTTCACCAGTTGGTGTCAGTAGTGGATCAGAAATGACTATACAGCTGACAAAAAATGCTTCATACTTGGATGTTTTGAATAAATAAATAAATAAAATTCCAAAATTTCTAATACAGAGAGAAGTCGTATGTGAAAATACAAATATACAAAGTCATACCAGCTAAAAATCAGAGCAGTACATGGATAGGTTGCTGCCTTTGCTATCAGTGCATTAGTTTACTGCTAATGTGTTTGATATCAAGTTATAAATATGAAGTCATTGAACTGCTTTCAAAATGTTTTGTGTGTTTTGAAATTATTGCTTGCATTAGCAATGAAAAGTCTATGAAGTATTAAATATTGAGCTACTTAGACCTGTCAGAGTCTGTCACTACAGGTGGTCAAAAGCTGAATGAGTCTTTCAGTTCAAAACCACCAACATTTTAACATTTCTTTTTGACTTTTTTCCCTCCAGTGTATCTGTTTATGTGATATGATGCTGGCCCATTTATTTGACATCTTTTCCTTCCTGTTCTAGGCTATCTTCTGGGGAGTGAAGACTATTATTCTCATGACCGTTGTGTCCTCATCAAAGCAAGGAATGTAACACGTTGCGCTCTGGACTTTCGAGATGGAGAAGAAGTTGCAACTGCATTTAAAAACATGTACTCCACTAATTTATTCACAGAAAGAGCTATAGATCTCATAGCCAGTCACAAAACCGAGAAGGTACAGTCAGCAGCTGTTACTCTGATAACCTCAACACCGAAGAATGTTTAAAAAAATGTTAATGAAGTATTAATGGAGCGAGCTGCGCTTGAGCTATAATTCGGGGCTATTCAGCAGGGTGCATAGAGCTAAATGTGAGAAGCAGTACTGGTAAAACTTGCCTTGTCTGCTGTCAGAATCAGCAATGGCTGCACAGCCCTGCCTGCTGCTCTTCTCCATTTCTTTTTTCATAATACAGGTAATGAATTTATATAGATGATTTAGCACGTAGTTTGCTCTTCTGAAAAAAGAATGGAAAGTTTAATGGGAGAAGTTTCATTGAAAGAAACTGTTAACAAATGTGCTATGAAGAAAAGGTACACCTGATGTTCTTCCACAGCTTCGCAAAAGTCCTTTATCAAAGTTTTATTAGTTTATGTTTAGGGATTAGGAGAGAGAAGTGTAGAAGAAATCAAAACACAGTGTCTGCAGCTATTGATGAATGAGGGCTGCTCTTGCTGCAGTAACTTTTGCATTTAGTACTTTAAGTTCAACTAATTTCCATTCTATCCCTTCCACCCCAGCCCCTCTTTCTCTACCTCGCTTTTCAGTCTGTCCATGAACCTCTTGAGGTTCCTGAAGAATATATGAAACCATATTCTTCCATTAAAGATGTAAAGAGGCGCCATTATGCAGGGATGGTGACTCTTATGGATGAGGCTGTAGGAAATCTTACCGACGCTCTGAAAAGATACGGTCTTTGGGACAACACAGTTCTTGTTTTCTCTACTGGTAAGTTCATTTAAATATTCTTTCAGTAATAACTTTGATACAGTGTCTAACAAGCTGACTGCAGAGACATATGGCCCCTCTGTCCTTCCTCCGTGTATTTTCTAAGTACAGAAGAGCAATGAAAGTGAAACAGGACTTTATACCAGAAGGAGCAGTTTCTGTCCCCACTCTTATGGCTTTCTCAAGCATGATGAAAACAACTCTGAAGAAGCATCTGTGCAAATGGGGGATACTCCTGTTGGAGTAAAAACAGCATTGTAAAAACCAAGGAGTGCTCTGAAGTTGGAGACATCTTGCTTGCCACTCCGGTTACTGAGTGTCTGTCAGGATTGAATCCTTACAGAGAGCAATCTACCAAATTCATTTGTCCTGAGCTATAGGTAGTTGTCTGTTCAGTCTGTAAATTGCCACATGTTGCATGAAGCATGAACAGCAAGACAGCAAGCAGTTTGAATCTAAAACTCTTTCATTCCCTTATTTTCACATAACAAGTAATTTTTGTCTTGCTTAAAATATTTCACTGGCACCTTACTCCCATGAAACAAAGGTCTGTTAATAAAAAAAGCTTAATATATGATGATACAGTTTAGGCCGCCAAATTACAGGCTAAGTTTTTGTATGCGCTAGCACATGATCTGGTTTCTAGATTATTAAGGTAATGCAAATAATACATTACAAAGCAATCTCCTTTGTTTCCAAATTAGGAATGAAACAGAACCTTTTTGGAATACAGCTGCTTGGCTGGGTTTCAGGAAAATAGTTGTTCTTCTTTGGTTGGGAGTGGGAAGTAGCCTTTCAATGCTTACAGTTGCTTTTTTGCTCAGGCTTTACATATTAGGGCTGTCAAAATGGCAAATGAATTTTCTGTGAACACTTTAAAAAACAACGACAACAACAAAAACCCCAAACCCCAAGGTCTGATGAAAATGCAGTGGTGTGTTTTGATTTTAGCAGCTGCTTCCTATAGCACTTGGAATTTTGTTTTGAGTCAAGACCTGTTTGCCTTATAGTGTGCCTTACATTTGTGTCCAGGTTTTGGCTCTAACAGGATTTGATATCTCTTCTATGCCTGTTTCTCTTTGCGATGTTTTCATATTTAGAACTGAAGGTAAGCAAAGCCATGTGGAAAATGATACCAATATTTATTCCATATGGAAAAAATCTAGTCTTTACTGATGGGGTTCTGGTAGAGTTATTTCAGTAATGTTTGTTCAGTATGTTGTGGAATAAAACTAAAGACATCTGAGTTGGAATTACTGAGTTGGGTATGACTGAATTAAAAAGAAAAATTTTGTTTGTTTGTTTATAAGTAATTTTTTTCCAAACAATGACAGTATACCCTGATTTTAACAGTAGTTATCTTTCAAGCAATTACAGGTACATTTCAATGAGAGTTGAACAGTCAGGAGAATCCAGTGTCAGTCCTATCTAATGGGACTTATCTTGAATTAACTGACATTTTAAACTGCTGGGAGTGGAATTTAGTGTGATTGAAGTGCAGGGAAATCGGGTCTAGATCAAGCAGGCCAGGAGACAGTGATTCGGGTTTTTTCAGTGTTCTCTCTTCAAACAGCTATTCTTTACAGGCATAAAACATTGCATGCATTAAAGACCCAGTTTCCAAAAAAAAAAAAAAAAGTTGAAACCATTAAGCATTAAAAAAAGGGGGGGGAGGGGCAAAAAAAAGGCAAAAAGAAAGAAGTGTGAAATCTATTCAGCTTTTCTATATTTATCACTTTTGCAGGTGGTGTGTTTTAAAATGGGCATTAGAATGTGGTTGAAAAGAAACACAAGAGGGTCTGCAGTTGAGCATCTTGTGCAGAGAGTTGTGCTATGTGATACCTCTCTGCACAGCTTTCAAGTCCTTTTCAATGAGGAGTCTTAATGTGCAGGGGTAGCTATAGTATGAGTATATACTTATAGTATCATAGTACCTTCAGCTCTTGAGGGCATGCCTGCTCGAGGAAGCTGTGCCCCCTTTCCCTGCCCCAAGTACTCTCCTGGGACTGGGAGACCCTCCTCTTGCTTGGTGCAGCAAGAGAAACATGTTTTCCTCTATGATCACGAATTCTCTCCAAGAGAGTTCTTCCCATGTTGTGGGGTTAAGAATCAATTTGAGGATTTAAATTAAGATGGCAAGGGAAAACCTAGGGAAGGATAAAGTGTATCTGTCATTTTAATGAGCAGTATCTATGTGTCTCCTCAGCATAGTAATTAAAGACACAGGATCATAAAAGCACTCTCTGTTTTGTTATAAACCTGGGTGGTTTGATAACTGTATTGTTGGAAACCTGTAGAGAAAAAAGAAGTGAAGACCCTACTTTTAGGGTAGATTTTTACTAGATTCATTACTATTCTCTGTGTAGTTGCAGCCAAAATTCACACTTGGATGTCTGCATTTCCCAATTGTTCAAAATTCTGCCCCCCCCCGCCCCGGCCAAATAATTTACAAAGGATCTTTTGCTATTTTGTGCTATAGCAAGTGGCATTGCAACAAATGTACAGTCTTCTAGTTGATTCCTTCACTATGAAGTGTCGACCCCAAAATTAAAGATTTGGTTTTAGTGGGTGCTCATTAAAATAATCTAGAACATGATATAATCTTTGCTCTCATGGTAGATTTCTTTTTATTAAACTCTTTCTTGTTTCTTCCTATTTGTATATGTTATGGCTCAAACAGGATTGCCTTGAAAACATGCCAGTTGGCAAACAGAAGTACTGCACATTTTAAAAGGGCCTTGTAAAATGTGTAGAAGAACTCCAGTTCCTCTTTATAGTGGCCTGATGGAGACATCGGGCCAAAAATGAAGTAATCTGGTCATTAGCAAAGTCTGACTCCCTCAGTATATTGTGTAAATCAACATCTCTGGTGTCTTTTTGAACAGATACACAAGCTATTTCTACAGGTAAATATGAAAAAGATGAGCTAGTTCAATGCTATGTGGTGTTATATTTGTGTATCAAGCAGTAGCTTGAAAAGTCTTGACTGGTGTGATATGAAATAGAATTTGCTTCTATGGTGCACCTTTTGTACTGCAGATACAACTAAGTCTATGCTAATGAGATCGGTGGTGAAATTGAAGTCATTGCTTGTTCAAGCAAAACAGATAAAAATGGATGCAGCACTGTCTTGTGTACCCACAGCCTTTTATCCACTTGAAATCAAAAAGAATGAGATGTAGGGTTTATTTTTCTTTTTAGGAAACGTAAGAAACTATAACTACCAGCTTTCCTGAAGAGGGCCTTGATTTAAAATAAATAAAGGTCATAAAAAGCATTCAAGTGGTAAAAATTTACCTCAGCACTATTAACACTGGCTTAGAGTCCAAATTTTTTCTTCAAATGTAGACCTATGATTTGAGGTAAGAAGTGGGGATCTGCTGTAAATACCATGTGTTTATAGTTTCTGCAACTATTACAGGTAGTTTTCATGGAAACCTGCCAACATTAGAGCAAAGGAATCTGACCTCTAATTTCAGTTCTGTATTAAAGCTACTATCCTTTGCTTTGTTTAACTTTCAGCTTTTCAATATACTAAATAATTTTGGAGCTAAACTCCTTACTGCTCTTTCTTCCAATATGTCTGTGAATTCTTAAATGTGGATTAGCATTGTAATGTCTGGTAGTTGCCGTAAGAGGGCTTTGAACAGTAAAATATGTGAAACTTTTCAAGCCTTGGTTTACATTGCTAAGAGGAAACCACATAAATCCTTTCCATAATGGAGCATGTGACAGTGATGACTGTTTTCACTCCAAAAGAGGGTCTCTTTATCATTTTAGAATTATGATTAATAAGAGCACAGATTGTTTTGGACATACTTACTGATATTTATACAGTCTCTCTGTCACACCCCTACATTCTCCCCTCCCCCCCCAATTTCCTATTACCCTAATAAAGACTTTTTCTCAGTCTTTTTTTTTTTTTTTTAAATTCCAGCCAGCATATTGTAGCATTTGTCTAATAAAATGTCAGTGGGTTTTTTGCTTATTTCCAGCTCCTACTTTGGTAGAAACCAGGGATCTGACTTTCAGTGCTTCCCTAAGGGCAGTTTTTTATCTTCTCCCTCATGTCTTTGTTCCTGAATGAACTTCCGCTCCTTCTCTTTTGCTGGTAAAGGACTTTGGAGAGACTTTTAACTGCAAATTGTCCAAGCCAGCTGAAGGACAGATTGCTTAGGGCAGTTATTCTCTGGCTGTGATGTCAGAGGTGCTAATTTTGAAGGTTGTGTTGTCAGATTTTTTTTTTTTTAGTAAACCTGCTCAATTACAGATCTGAAAACCTGCTTTAACTGGTCTTGTCAGGAGGTTCTGAGAGGTTCAGTGCATTGCCAGTGAGGAAGATGCCTGGGCATCTACTGCCTGAGCATCTGCTGCTTCCTAAGAGGAAATAAGCATAGGTGCCTTAGCTGCAAGCACCTTCATTCAAACTAGTTATTTGAATCCATCCATATATTCCCAAATACTACTTTTCTATTTTGTGATTTTCTAAGCTTGATATCATACAGGCAAACGTTGCAGCTGAGCAGTGAACTTGCATTGGTCAGAATTGTTGCATGTCAGTGATAAATAGTGAAAGGTGCATGTGGTTAGTGTTTTATGTGCCAGTGGTGGCTTTTATTCTTTTTAGGCTTTTTCCACGTTTAAGTATGGGTGGTAAGAATAAAGTTTTTAGAAATAAAATATTATCTTCTCTTCCATATGGTGCAGACAATAGTAATGAAACATCTGGACTGATTTGTGATAATGTATTCTTAAGGGTGGAAATGTTATCTTATAATGGAAATTAACTTCAAAATGAAAACTGAGAAGAAGCTGATAGTTAATCCATTCATTACCCACCCCCCACCCCCCATTTTAAAATCCTGTGAAAACCCAAAATGTTTTGTAGGAAACATTTATTTATCTTCCTTTCCTTGTAGCATTAACGCCTCATCATCCACCCTGCTTTTTCCGTGCAAAACCTAACACTCCAAACCTGAGTTCCTGAACAGAGGGTGACC